ACTTAACTTAACTTAACTTAACTTAATTTAAATCTAATTTCATGTAATTTACTTTAATTTGATTTAGTTTAGTTTACTTTAATTCAATCTAAATTCAATCTAATTTATTTTTGTAAAATATCATATAACATAACATCATGTCATACTACAATATCACACAAGATAACATAACACAATACAATATAATATCAAATATTATCATATAATAATATAATGTCGTATCGTATAAAATAATATAATATACAATATACATTATATAACAATAAAATTGCTCTCCCTAACAGCCAAGGCTCGCGAGAAGACGGGAGCCCAGGGCCACGGGCTGTCTTTGGAGCCGCCCGTGGCCTGGTCGCCGCAGACGATCTCCCAGGGATGGAGCGTTATGCCCTTGGACTCAGACACGTTGGATCGGGTGAAGCAGCTCTTCGTGGTCACCATGCCGCAGGAGCTGGGCAAGGGCCGAGATGCGCAGAAGTATGGCCGAAGCTACCAGAACCTTGAAGTCACCTGCGCGTGGCGCCTGGAGTACCCAAGCCAGTGGCTGAAGTATGCTGCCGAGCGGAATTCGGTCAACATGAACATGCAGCAGTTACGCCGCCAGGCGATTCCTCTCCAAACCTGGACGAGCAAGCTGGAGGCAGGCCTTTCTAGGGCTTATGGGTTTGAGGGTCGGCGGGCATAGGATTTAGGGTTTAAGCGTTTAGGGGCTTAGGGTCTAGGGTTGAGGGGGGTAGGGGTTTAGGGTTTATTTAGGGGCTTTGTTTTTAAAACTAAGGTTTAGGGGTCTAGGGTTCAAGTGTAGGGACCTAGGGTTTAGGCTTTAGTTGCATCGAGAGTTGTCCAGATTCCCTGGCACCAACAGGAAGCTTCCAAGAACATGCCGGGGACGCTGCATGCAGAGGTCCGACACCTGAACTAAACCCGAACTCTGTACGCGTAATCCTTAAAGAACAAGTTCAGCCCTAAAATTTCCAAGCCCCAAGCTCCAAACCATTAATAACCCCCGGCAGTATATGTTGCTTTTAAGTCTTCGGTGTGTTTAGGGGCTCCAAACACTACTGCACGACAATGCAAATATCGCGACCACCATATGCCACGTCCGCTACCCCGAACATCTTCCACAGCGCAGCCGTGCTGGCACCCCTGCATCCATGCTCCCTGCTTCTCAAGTTATAGATTGACCCCTACGAAACCATGGACATCTTAAAGCAATCATACCAAGATGTCCACCTTGACCGCAAATCCGTAAGCTTGAACACAAAGTCCAGAAAGTATCCCTAGAAGGTCGGGGAGCGGTTCCTGCTTCACGGCACGAACCCTGCGCGGATCCTGGACATCCTCCACCAAAGCTTCAGCGACAAGCTGGCGAGCCTCAACGGGATGTTCGGTGCCGGGAGAGCTCCACTTCCTCCGACACCACTAAACCCAAAACCCGAAACCCCAAAAAGCTCTAAGCTCTAAACTCTTGTTGGGTTTCTTCGGGTCGTTGCCAAAGAAGAGAACCCCTGCAGGTGCTGGAAGCTACGTCGCCGAAGACCCAGAGAAGATTGACCAGTACACCACGCCGGATCCAGGCCTCCCCTAAACCCTAAACCCTAAACACCTAAGTCCTAAACCCTAAATCCTCCTGTCTGACTCAAAAGTGAGAGCCAAGGGCCTGGGCTCGTTTAGCTCCCCTAAGCTCAAGACTCCGTGCGCTCCTTGAAGTAGAGTCTCCAGGATAGGGCTTTAGGGTTCAGGGTTGTTGTCTCCCTGATAGAAATGCTCCGACTTGAGATTTTGTGTTGCGTGCTCATCGCTCTAGCTTGTGAGCTGACACTGACACATTTACACTTGTAAACCCTAGGCCCGCTCTTAACCCTCACTCCTTGAACCCTCCCTCATCTCACAGGATTCGAGGTGCCCGGATTGGAGGAGCTCCACTCGCGTCTCTACCGGGCAGGCGGAAATGCGCACCCAGGAGATCAGGGAAATCTCTGCTCCCTGGGATTAAACGTGAACGCCAGAACCCTCGATTTTTTTTTCGCCCCGACTCCGAAAGCTTAGACCTAAAAGCGGACAATGACGTGTAGGCTCAGCCACCTTGAAATTGCCTGAGAGGCCCCTGGGTTGAGTGTTTTAGGGTTGAAGGTTGAGTTTTTTTGGGGGTTTTCGGGAGAAGGAGAAGACACCTTCTACTGCTTCCTGGTCCGTGCGGTCTGCGGTGCCTGCCAGGTGCCCTCGCTTTTTCAAGAGCCAGGGCTTGCCAGTTCAGGGTTTGGGGCTTAGGGTTAAGGGTTTAGGGGCGAGAGGGCTGGTCCTGCGGTCCAGAGTTGGCTGCAGACCGGATTCCCTGCTCATGGGTCCTGGTGATTTTTTGCTGCACTTCATAGGGAACAGCCCAAAACCCTAACCCCCCAACCCAAACCCTATAATTAGTTACCCTAAACCCTGCAAAAATATGAACTATGCATTTGATCACAGCTTAGGTGGTGGAAGGCCTTGACAAAGATCGGCTCAGGGACGCAGATTCTGGGACAGAAGTGTTTCTGACACCAGATCGCCGCGTGCTGAGCCACATTCCACACGCCTCGCCATCCCTCTCCTACCATACCTTGGTGGTGAACGTCGCGAAGCACAAGGTTCCCGCTGGTGTTTACAGATTCCGTGAGGTTGTCCTCTTCGACGGCAACCGCATCTACCCAGAGTATCTCTTGGCCTATCGCAGGATCTAAGCTGTCGCTCTTCATTCTGGACGGCCTGGGTTCAAGGCACAAGCCGAGCCATTCCGTTCGACGCCCTCGATGGGGCCTTTTTGGCAGTAAAAACCTGCCATGAAGATCAGCAAGCGAGACTGATGACGGATCTGAGTCGTCCGTTTCATGACGTTTCATGACTTTGCAGCGGAGGGAGGACGCATGCTTATCCTCTGTTAGGACCGATAATGCCAATGCGTATTGGAGGGCAGTACTGAGGAGGTCACGACCAGCGTGTCAAAAGTTTGATTCTGGAGACTGGGTGTGCTACTCTCGCCGGCAAAATAACGGTCAGAACCGAAGTGACGAGAGGCGGTGGCACGGACCAGCTCAAGTAATGTATGCAGACAATCGCATTGCATATCTTGGTCACTGTGGTTTTCTGATCACAGCCTCCCCTGAGCAGTTTCACCAGGTTTCACCCAGTGTCTTTGAGGGACTGGCTTGCCGTCAGTCAGCAGCAGCAGAACCCTTCCAGGCCTTCCGCAAGTCACGTTGCAGATCTAATGGGGAGGTTCAAGGGGATGCTCCCTAAGGTAGCCCCCAAGCGCAGCTGACGTGACTGAACTGTGCATGGGTGTTCACGAGCAACCAGAAATGGAAATCTCCCACGATGGAGGCTCGCGACATACCCGTCCCCGAAGCGGGATGATGACCTTGTTTTCGCGGGTGCATCCCACCTGCAGGTCCATGAAACGAGTATCCCTTTAGACAACATCCCAACTCCTGAGCAAGCCTTGCAGTATGTACTGCTACCCACAGCAGCTGAGAAGAAGAAACGTGTGGAGGCTCGTTGGAGGGACCTCAGTCCAGACAGGAGCGGCAACAGTTTGAAGGAGCCAAAAGTATTGCAAGGCTTTTCATTGTCCCAGCGATCAGCGCCGGAGAGCCATCGGTCAGCTCCGGCACGAGGAACGCATGAAAGCTTGAGCCGATGGCTTTCTGCAGCCGTTGTCCGTCAAGTTGTTGCGATGTGTTTGATGAAACATGCCTGTTGTAAACATGACATGTGGGATGCAGCACAGGTCACATATTGTTAGAACGATATTTGCTGCTAGCAACATGGAAGTCCCTGAAAGGGATACCTCCTGCGCCATGGCAGAACGGAGGAGCCGTACTTTCAGTTCGTCCGAGGAGCCATTGCGACGGTTTGATAGGCAATGCGTGAGCTACTGATCCATTGATTTTGTTCATGGGGTTGCGACCTGCAGGAATGGCAGCAAGCTTTGCAAGCGTTAAATTCACCACCACAATCCAGGCCCATGCAGCCAACCCGTTCTCGTCTGAAATGACGTGTGTTTTGGACGCAAGGTCAGTTATCTCCAGACAAGAACAGGTGTTCCACCATGCAGAACGCTACTCCTTGGGAAATGCCGTGAAGGACCTTGGTTTCGAGCAGGCAAATTGTAAGACGTGATGATTTTGCCAGGGTTGCGGTCGTGTAATCAATGTGCAGGATATGGCCCGCGCTTTCCGGGAGCGTCACATGGAAACCTCGCTGAAAAGGTTGCGAGCGTCGCCTGCTCTCATTTTTCTGAAAGTGCCCTGGCAGTTATGGCCGCGTTGTGGCTTACTGCAGTAGCCCGTATGAGAATGCATCATCATCGTCTGGGTAGGTCCTACGTGCAATGGACAAGGTAGAAAGCACAAAGTACGAAGTTGACTTGGGTTCAAACCGCCATGATCGCCAAAGTTCATCTGTTTCGTTTGTGTCCGAGGGCCCAAGAGCTGTATCCGGAGAGATTGAAGATGTAAAATGCAGGGGTCGTCTGCTGTGCTCATTTCACGTGACGTGCGCTGGAATCATGCCAGCTGAACAATTTCAGACGCTAGAGTTGTAAGCTTTCAAGCATTCGAATCCCGTGGCCCTCTGCCCAAGTGTGCTACCAGTACGATAGCAGAAGTGTTCTTTTGCTGTGATAGCTAATCGGTATGGGTGTGCTCGTTGTTCTGATCGTTGCGTTCGATGCCTTGCAACCCCTTGATCCCCATCCCGCTGCAAGGTGTGGCACACCTACGGCATTTGGGTCGGTGCTTGTGTCTATTTTACAATTTCGGCGAACTTGATGCTCGCCTGGTACATCGACTGGTATCGAACCAGCGGCACGTACCGCATTGAGCACCTGGGCTGAACTGCTTTTCGTTGGGTTCATTGTCGCGGCCGGTACGTATGCATCCCACTTTTGCAGGTCCCGTGGTGCTTCGCAGATCTTTCACTTTGATTTGGCGCCTTTCTTTGCAATATTTTGTCGATCTTGGCTCCTGGTGTGCGTAGTCGGAGACTTGCTCCGCTTCTGCTACCTGTTGGCCAAAGATGCATGGGAGGAAGATGCGCGCCTTGGAAGCAGGTGTATAAGCAGGTAAGCCCGAAAGTGTGTGGTGCATGTGGTGCTTGTGTTCGCCTGACACTGCCTCGTTGCAAGCTGGAGTACGAGGTTCGTAACGTACAGACGAGTCGTGTGTGGTGATTTCCAGCGAGATCTCCAAGACGAGATGGAGAGGAAGCCTCTTCGTTCCAGCCAGTGGTCTGTCGAGATGTTGAGTTCCCCAGGCCAGGTCGCGAGAAGTCACCAGCTCGTGGTTTTCTTGGTATGATATGTCACTTTTCCACGCAAGGCTGCCGCACTTTAGATGTTCTGCTCCAGATCTCAATCTACCTCGCCTTGGATGTGGTTCCGGTGGCTTGCTTTCTGATTTCTTACATTGAAGAACAAAGCTTTGCGAGGCTTGGGCTGCAGAACAGGGCGGTGTAATGCGTAAGTCTTCTTCGCAGACCTTGCGAAGATTACCCGATCTGCAGTTGACTAGGAAGACACTCCATGTCCGCATCCTTGGACCAAGCAACACAGACAGAGATTAGCAAAGAATCAGCATCGAGCAGATTTCACAGCAGATAGTTGTGAAAACCAGTTTAGAATCTTGTGAAAGCTTTGCCTACATGGTGCGGAAGGAAAGACATTTACAGAGGTGGAGTGCTAAGCTGTGAATAAGGAACGCAACGGTGGCAGCATCTGCCGGCCTCTCTGGCGGCCGTTTAACTGCAGGATACAGAGCCAAGTCAGCCAAGTGCAGATACTTGGAAGCATCCCAGGATGCGTGGAACTCAGGAAGCTGTATCCACGTGTTCGTCTTCTTTCTTGCCATGTGGGTCACTGACGTGGTTGCCAAACGTCGTGGCTTCATGGCGGCATATCGTGGTGAAGCTCGCCTGGCTCCTTGCGAGTATCCAGGATGCGACCGAAGTCTTCGCGACTGTGGCTTTCTTCGCTGTCTGACTTGTCATGTGTGTCTCGTCGTGCTGCCAGGAGAGTCACTTCAAAACTTTCAGTGGGCCGGCGAGTTCGGAGACAGGTGAGATTGAGGGTACCCCCGAAAGGTTTTTAGGACATTCGTCACGTTGCTTAGGCACCTGGCGAACTTGGAAGCGGCACGCTGCGTGTCCTTCGTTGAGGTCACCGAACCAGCCAACTTCAAGACCTCACGGTTTAAAGGTTGGATTCGAATAACCAGAAGTCTGTTGATTCGTGGAGGACTCCTTGGATGGGCCCCCAGATCGCTGCGTCTCGCCTCGCAGCAGCGGCGGAGGGGGTGCAACCTGGCATCAGAATTGGCAGTACTCGCAGCGTGCTTGGCTCTGACCTGAAGTGGCGGCCGGGGATTTGGAAGGTGTCACTGGGGGACCGATCCGATCAAAGTGCACCATCCAGTGTCGCGACATCAGATGTTGCGAGAAGGTGCAGATGATCAGGTGTCTACGTTGTACATGTTGCAGTGTTTTGCACTGCCAGGGCGGGTGGATCAGTACATCTAGCTTCTGCAGGTGCGCTTGATGTGCAGGCTCTAACCTTACAACTTGGCTCCCCCTGCAAAGCCTGCACTTGCGCCGTCTTGCAAGGAATCCAGCTCCAGCGCGTTGCCACCCAGGCGATCCTTCAGCTTCCGTAATGCAGGCTTTGATCTTTCGATGCGCAGGTTGGACATGCTTGCTCGGCCCCAACGCAGAGAGACCGCCGGGCCGGGTGAGGGATCAAGCGCTGACCTCATGACTGGAAGAGCACGGTGGTGTGAAGGTCCATCGACACAGTTGCCGTCGCACTTCCGACGTGTTTGGGAACCAAAATCGGCACGCCAAGCTCTGAAAGACTCATGGCTACCAGACAAGGCCATTGATTTTGCAAGGCGGACCAGCTCAATCTCTGTATTCCGATGTGCGTATGCTTCAGCGGCACTTTGGCCTGAGACCCGGCAGTTAGACACGAGCAGTATGCATTTCGGTCGGCAGTGCGTTCTCAGACAGCTATCAGTACTGTGCAGCAGGCATCAGCATTCGCAGGTGCAGGCTCCCATCCATTCATTGTTCCTTGGTTAGTTCATGACTGTAAACTAGATTAGGCAGCCATCCATTCACTGTTTCCTTCGTTAGTTCATGTGTGTAAACTATATTTAAACTACCTTTCATCTGATTCGACATTTGATTTGTCCATGGTTTGTCGAGAATCAGGACTGTATGTATGTATGTATGTATGTATGTATGTATGTATGTATGTATGTATGTATGTATGTATGTATAAGTGTCTCGGCCCGAAGTGG